TCATGTTAGATTCAAGCCCACTAGTTGCCACTTTATGAAGTTATTGATAACACAAAGACAAAGTAAGATAGAAGGAGTTGCATGGTTGTTAATGTTAAACACACAACCAAACGGATATAACAACTAATGCACAACACACTTTATAGTTAAGTTAGCCCAAAGAAAATAATGGTTAACGTCATATGAAAAACATTTTTTTCTTGGATAAAATCAAATGAACAATACCAAATAAACAAAAAGCATTAGTATAATGGTTCTTGCACAAAATGTGATCCAGCCAATAACACTAGTTTTAAGGAGCATGATTGGCATTTATTTTTTCCTTGAAAGAATTGTCGTATGCTTTACTTATTTAGATGGTTCATCCATAATAATAGTTCATGCCAAACATGCTTTTTTTTCTTTGCAAACCAGAAGATGTTTACAACAACATTTAGCCTGAGTTTTTGTTTTGAGCTTTACCAACTCAACTTCCTCGTTGTTCGCACACATGCTTCCCAAACTGGTAAATGGTGCGTGTTTTGCCAAAAAAAAAGAATTATACAAAAGTTTCTTTAAAATATCACATTAATCAATTTTTCAAAAAAAAACCCTAATACCTAATTAATACACACGCTAATGGACTGTTCCGTTTTGCATGTTTGAAGGGAGAGTTCCCAACTCCAACTAAAACCCATCCTTAAGTCTTGTGCTTTTCTTCCTTTTCAACTAAATTTGTTTGTCAGTTATGCAATACGACACATTCAAGAAAAGAAGTTATGAAATATGACAAAAATACCATTCTTTACATAACAATGCACTGCCTTACAAAAAACAGACAAACAAAGAGACTTGTCTATGGTGATAGTTAAAGTGTGTGCGCACAACATGAACATCTGTACTTGTAAAGTGATTTACCTGTTTCCTAAGTGAAATTTCCTCTATCAGTCTTATCCCGGTGGTAGTCATTCCACCTTGAGTTGTAGCTCATGGCAAACCTTAGTAGCCCTTCCAACACAAACACAAACTTAAAAAGAACACTTTGATTCAAAAGAGAAAAGATAACACAATTAGATGAATCAACAAGGCAAATGTTACCTGCTTGTTCAGGGAGAGATGCCCATTTCCAGGTTCCTTCTTCATTCTCCTGGATGAAGCATGTGAACTTCCCTCTAAGGCCCATTTCAATGTTTTAATACCACTTTCCATCTCCTTGATTTTTTGTGGGAGGTCAAACTAAGTTTGTACTTTGCTTAGGAAATGTGGGTTGTGTGTGTGTTTGTGTGTTTACTCACGCATACACACAGGGACAAATTAAGAGATCGAGAGAAAGATAGAGTCAGAGTCAGAGTCAGAGAGAGAGAGATATGTTTTCCTCCCATATATCTTCATTCATGTCTAGATTTAAGGTTTGTGTTATTAGAATATCATCAACAATAGGTATGGAATGTTAAGAGAGTCTTGCATTTGAGGTAAAAGGGACGAATATCGACCTTCTCCATATATATCGACCTTTCATCCAGACTAATGCATGGCTCCTTAAATCATTAGGGAAACATTCTGGTAGTAGCCAAGTTTTGCAAGCATAACTAATTTATGCATGTGGTGTCTGCATATCAATGCTTTGCACAATAAAATTTAAGAAAGAAAATCCAATAAGCTTAGGACAACCTCTAAATGGACCATGATTCTACACAGCCAGGTGAGTACACTACTTCAGGCTTTTAGTAACATGTCATTCTGTCAATTAGCTGAAAACAAATGTGTTATTGAGTTCTTGGAAATGCTGTAGAAGTAATGCATGTACAAGGGAAAGGAGTAATACATGTAATAATGTAAAGAATCACAACTCATCGACTTATGAGGTAGTGTGGATCATTTATCATAGCACACAAGAGCATCTGTTCAGTTTCCTAAGACGTCGCTTATATTTCCGAAATCAAATATGCCTCATAAAGTTGAACGGAGGGAGTATATTCAATACTTGCTTAAGAGAATGCGTGCGATAGAGAATGCGTGTGACATAAAGAGTCGAGAATTTATAGTGTGTTAGTAGGATATACATTGTCACGTAACCGTAGTCGCGGAGTGTGTGTATATTGTCACACAACCAGTCGATCATGGTGGTTGGTCAAATTTATAATTTGTTAGTGGGGTATGTTATTGTCACATGGACTTTCTTCTAGTTTTTAGAAAAGAGGAATTGTGAGAAGCCGACTATCCTTTAGTACTAATTTTGAGATTTGAACCCAGGTGAGTTGGGCGAACACCCTCACACCACACCAACTGAGCTATGCTCAGTTCTCCTTTTTCATAGTTTCTACCAGTTAATAGAACATAAAAAAAACATGTCACCAGTATTAATCCTTACAAACAAGAATGCACAATCTTATATAAAATAAAACAAACAAGCATGTTCATCTATAGCGATAAGATTCTTGTATTGCATAAAGAATACTACCGAACAATGTACCTGTTTGAAAACCTCCTTGGTGAAGTTTCATCTCTTAATGCCATCCCTCGGTTAGTCATTCTACATAGAATTGCAGCTCTTTGCAAACCTCAATATCCCCTGCATTCCGAATTAACACAGAACAAGGAATGGAGAATAGAATAAGCGAAATTCACAAGCAAAAAAGAATTCCAAATGAACCAACAATTCCCCTATCCTTCTTTTCTATATAGTTGGTACCCACTTAGAGTTATTTACTGCTATAAAGCTGAGATTTGGTGAAGCCACGTCATCCTATGAAATAGACGGTCGGATTGATTCAGGCCAGCCTTTGTGTCACCGTTCGATTCCTCTCCGGTAGTGAAACTGTCGCAATAAAATGGCAACCGATGGCCGTGTTTAATGCATTTTAATTCCTTCACCTAACGCATGTTTTTATTCATCAATCCCGGTATATCTTCATCGTTGATAATGACGCACTCACCATGGGTCACCAGTTCAGTGCGACCTGTGCGGCTGCCCCAACGCCCAAGAACAGGTACTTGCCCTTCTGATACTCATGTCTCATGTAGCTGATCATCTTTGCTGCTACTTTGTTTCAGGCTACTTATGAGATTCGTTTTTTTTTTGTTGTATAATTAATCCTTTCGTACAACCTGCTCACATATATTACTGTCCTATCTGATTGATTAAATAAGATGCAGTGTTTGGGCACCAAGAAATATTTGTTCCATGCTTTACAAAGTGATTTTTACATTTTTGCGATGTTTTTACCGTTGATTATCTCCTACATTGCCCTACCACAGCTCACTTATGAAGTGCACTTCCAGTAGTTGCAGTGGTAATTAAGCAGCGATCGATTCCGCTCATGAAAATGGTTGCTTGCATAAGCCATGGTGAGTTTCCTTGACGATCCATGTTTCCTACAGTTTACACGTTAATTGATCCCTACCCTAAAACCTTGACTCTTTTGCAACCTTTAGTCTATTATTCTGTACTCTGTACATGCATCATTAATTTACTTTAGAGTTCAGCCAAGTTTTTCAGGTGAAGGATATCTATGGATCCAAAATATATGTGTTCCTTGGCCAAGTTTTAGTTAGGTGGCTATGTTTCTCTCCGACATTTATGCTCTCTGAAAAAAAACACACTCCATATTTAATTAGCAATTCTATTTGAGAACTTTTATTAACCTCCATGAAACTTGAAACTTGGTAGTTTCTTCTGCAATGAAATTATGTGATGAGTTTTCAGCTATATGATCCTGATCATTGAGATTAGGTAACTTCTCTGTAGGATATGAGCTGAAAACCTTCTAAAACAGGGTACTGAAATTTGTCTAATTACATCTGTAAAGACAAGGTCCAAACATATTTTTAGTTTTTTACTATGATGCTTGATCCAATTTAATTATAACAGCCTTTGTTTCATTAAATTTGGTTTGCAATTTTTACAAGTTTATGATTTTTAGTAAATGATGCCTTTATTTTGTTAATATCTATGTAGAAATTTGTTTCTTTTATTTGAAACATTGACGGTTTTGTCCTTCCAATTGGAGGTTTTGGCCATCAGCTGAATATTTCATATATACAATCATATATTTTTGTGACCATAATTATTTTAAGATATATTCTAAGCAGATTATAAGCAACTTTAATTATATTGTTTGCACAAATATTACGTACCGAGAACTACTCTTTTATGCCCGCAACAATGCGCGGGGCATCAACTAGTTAACCATGATAAACCATGATAAGAACAATTACCTGACCATTTCAGGTAATCTTTGAGGGATTGATGCATTAATGAAGCAGATCAACTTCTCATCTTCCTCCACTGACCTTTTCAGTCGTTCTAGACATATTCTTAATTTTTATTAGTGAATTAAGTTTAAACCTTACTTTCGGGGGTGCGTGGAGTGTGTGCCAGAGTCAGATAGAGCCTTGTAATGTTTTAGATGAATGAAGAGACAAAGGGAGCAATGGCAAGCACTTCCCCACATTCCTTAGCTTTATTTATATCCAAACTTGAAGGATACTACCTCCTTGAAGGATTCTACCTCCGTTTCAAAAAGACTTAACTTTTCAACATGAATATCGATGGACAAGAGATCCATGTAAAAAGATAAAGTCTTTTTGGATGAGGATAGTATGTTATCTGCCAGTAATGTCACAGGAAAAAAATGACAAGCATATAACTCCTAAAATTACCACGCACTACTTTATGAAAAATACAAACTTGTCCAAATGTAAGGTTTATGTTATTTCGACGAGTTTCTTTTGTCATTTATAGAACATGTCAAATGAAAAGGTTAACATGTCAAGAATCACACTCAAGCAGATAAATTGCGCTGCCTCTCTAATTTGTGGCATTGTGTCAGCTTCCTAAATAGCAGAGATCAAAATTTCACATACCCCTTAATCCTTCCTTATAATCTAGATATTTTGTTAACCTGTCATCAGCATCTGTATATTTGCTAAATTAATAGGATATAATCCACATTGTAAATAGAAACAGGAAAGCAAGAATATCCACACAGAAAACAAAATATCAAACAGAGACAAGAGAATAGGGTTGAATAGTTTTGGTTCATGAACTTATAATAAACTGGCGAGAAATGCGTGGATTCTGTACATTATTTTAAGTACAACTAATCTCGAGTCGAATCATTGTACACGTAAATATATTTGCAAGCTCTCCAAATGAGGCTTTGCCACATTAATATTGTGATGCAATCAGATCTGATTCAACTGAATGTTGGTCAAGGGTGTTTGTTCACTTCACATCTCAAGCTTGCTAGCAAGGTACCAGGAATGCATGGCTAGGCTGCCGAATGACATGATGTTGGCCAAAGACGAGAGCCCGTGGATCATCCCAAACTTCTTGTTGATTGCGGCAAGGGTAGGGTTGTTTTTTGCCACCTGAACATTCTTCGACCACCCAACCTCCTCACCAATGCTCAGGTCCCTCTCAATCTTGTGCCTCTTCTTCATCATCTGCGAGGATCAAACAACCAAATATTATCGTCGCACTAGGAGATGAAGAGAAAGGAAGGGGATCTTCTAATTTGTTTAGGCATGGTTACCATAGGTCTTGGTTCATACAAAAAGGCAAATGATTGACATATCATATACAACTAAATATTCTATTAAAGAAAAGCATTAGTGTTGCTGCACTTTATAAGAGAATCATAAACATGTTTTGCTAGAGTATGGGTAGTTAAATATCATTGAATATAAAACAAATAGGGGATATGGCAACGTATCACTGTCAACTACTCAACTGCACATCACTTTACACAAAAAAATGACTGGATAGAGGCACTTCAAAGGATTAGGAGTTTCAGTACTTGAAAGGAAGCAGAAAATAGCACAAATTATGAACTAAATTAAGAATATCAGCAGTGAGATAGCTTACTAGTAATCAACCAAAATAAGGATGCTTGTGAATTTAACATATAGATTATAAGTACAAGTGACTATATATAGTTGCATCAACAAGTTAATATGCAAAGTATAATTTATGTTGCTTAGGAACAACAAAGATAACCTACTACTATCTGATACAATCTTCTACATCCATGATGACCATCATGTAATCACCAACACTATGGCATCACATATGTGCTTATTCTGACCAATAACCTAAAGTAACACATGAGATCTAACAGGGATGAAGGAGTCTAACGTCGATCAACATTCATACATCCATAACAAAGTACTAAAATTGCACACTTCATATGCCATTTAATGAAGAAAAATCTTCAAGAAGATATTAAACATTTTAATGGAAGAGTTATGTCATGGTAAACAACACCACACTGAAGCATAGTTGCCTTTAAAAACTTGGCATTATAGGTTATAGCAATGAGCACTATAATGCAGCTATAGGAGGTCTCAATTTGGTAAAGCAATTACATAAGCAATCAAAATAATTAAAGGTAATGCTGATGCTGTTCTCTAATTAGCAACATCCCTACCCACATAATCAAGAGCATCCAAAATTAGATTCAAGTTAGAGTAGCACAAATATCAACCTCTCAACTCTGGAATCCACTATAGGAAAAGAAGCCTGCAACCCAAAACTATCACTATCCCGCAACTAAAAGTTACTAGTATTAGCCAATCAACAATCAAGCAATGCAAGAAACGCTTGTTAACTACCAGTAGAGTTGATTATGTATTGTTGCGTCATGTCTCGCCATTTTCTAACAAACTTCCATAACAGGTGAAGTATTATTTATGCTGATTAGGATGATATATATGAAGAATAAATCATCTACTATTGCTAATTTGCCATCACCAACCCTAAACTGACAGCTTGTAGTAATCTTGTACAAATTAAGTAATAGCTGACCTCGATGGTCATGGGGGTGAACACGAGCAGGTTGGAGAGGTCGAAGCCAAGGGCGGCGAGGAGGAAGCCGAGCTGGTAGCGCTCGACGGTGGACGCCGTCTTCCACGGGTGGAGGTAGGCGAAGGCGGCGACGGAGACGGCGGCGCAGGCGGAGATGAGCATGAAGTAGGCCGGGAACAACTTCCCCTGCAGGTTCCCGAACTGGTGCCTCGGCAGATTCCTTTCCAACACAAACAAACAACCATTCATCCAATCGAATCCAACTCTCGGATCAGATTTGAAGTAATCTCAGATTTGAAGCAATCTGGGTTCTTGGAATTGGGGGAAAAAAATCAAGAACTCCCCAAGGTTTTTGGGAGTGGTGGGATTACTTGAACATGATGATGCCGCCGATGAAGGTGGCCCAGAGGGCGGCGCCCCATGAGGTGGCGAAGCAGAGGAGGTGGGCCACCTTGGCGGCCGCGGCGGCGCCGCCGCCGGAGCCGGAGCCGGAGCGGGCGCCGAGGAGGACGTCGGGGGCGAAGACGACGCCCGCCGCGAAGAAGCAGACCGCCGCCAGGAACCGCGTCGCCCACCCCATCACTCTCTCTCTATCTCGATCTCGACGGTCTCGAGGAGGCGCCGGCGGCGAGGGGGAAGCGGCGGCCGGAGACGAGGAGGAGGTGTCGAGATGGAGGAGGGAAGGAGGTAGTTGGAGAGAAGGGATGGAAAAGGTGGGTTTTTTAGGGGAAATTTGGCCCTTCTAGAAGTAACAAGGGTATATTCGTAAATTTAAACCGAATTTGGAAATAAATTCCAGGCAATATACTACATGACTTTGTTATTGAGGCCCCATTCAGTTTAAAAAAAGAAACTTGCATCGAGTGTTATGGTACATGTATGGAGTATTAAATGTGGAAAAAAAACCAATTACATAGTTTTCGTGTAAATTGTGAGACGAATCTTTTAAGCCTAATTGCGCTATGATTTAACAATATGGTGCTATAGTAAATATTTGCTAATGATAAATTAATTTGTCTTAATAAATTCGTCTCGCAGTTTTTTGGTGGAATCTATAATTTGTTTTGTTATTATACAATGTTTAATACTTTAAATATATGTTCATATATCCGATGTGGTAACAAAACCTAAAAATTTTCCCCAACTAAAGATGAACTAAATTCCAGGCAATATACCGCATGACTTGTTTACTGAGTAGAGAAGTCAAAAAATCGTGGTTTGATTTCTTGAGACTGCCAAATTAGACTGTTGTTGGTTCTTTATGGCAATATCAAATGGTTACTTTCCCCGTCCTCGATGAGCATGTTTTTTAACCACTAAACGGGTTATTTTGTAAAAAACTTTTTTTTATTAAAGTCTCTTTATTTTTTAATTTATATAATAAGTAATAATCGGTTAATTATACACTAATGGTTTTTTCTCGTTTCGTTTGCTCCAAAAATTTCAGTCCAAACACAATTCCGAACGAGGCCTTATTCCTACTCTTCAAATCGCTGTGAATGTGAAACTACAGAGGCTAATTGATGGACGTGCCTGGTTTAGGTGGGAAAAATTTTTAGGTTTGATTGTCGTATTGGATATACGGACACACATTTGAAACATTTAAAGTTTAATAACAAAATAAATTACAGATTCCACCAGAAAACTGCGAGACGAATTTATTAAGCCTAATTAATCCGTCATTAGCAAATGTTTACTTAGCACCACATTATCAAATCATGACGCAATTAAGCTTAAAAGATTTGTTTCGCAATTTACACACAAACTGTATAATTGGTTTTTTTCCACATTTAATAGTACATGCATGTGTTCAAACATTCGATGTGATGGATGAATAGTTTTTATTTTGGGCACTAAACATAAACAAGGCCTGCGAAAGGGCCTGTAGCCTAGTGGTTACAAGAGCATCAGTAGCACATGAGGTCCTGGGTTCGACTCCTCATAGGAGTGAATTTTTCAGGATTTAACGGCGTTGTGCTTTTAGTTGTAGGCAACGTACCCGTCGACAGCGATGCACTTGTAGCTTCGTCAATCTCTCCAGAATTTGCCGGCCCAGTCTTCCTGTAGTGACTTCGTCAATCTCTCCAGGATTTGCCGGCGTTGTGCTTTTAATTGTAGGCGACGTACCCGTTGACAGCGATGCACCTGTAGCTTTGTCAATCTCTCCAGGAGTAGTGACTTCGTCAATCTCTCCAGGATTTGCCGGCGTTGTGCTTTTAGTTGTAGGCGACGTACCCGTCGACAGCGATGCACCTGTAGCTTCGTCAATCTCTCCAGGATTTGCCGGCCCAGTCTTCCTGTAGTGACTTCGTCAATCTCTCCATAATTTGTCGGCCCAGTCTTCAAAGATGCTCATAGGGGTGAGTGTGCGTGAGTTGCGTCAATCTCTCCAGGATTTACCGGCCCAGTCTTTAAAGATGTTCATAGGGGTGAGTGCGCGTGAGTTGTGAGTGTCTGCAGTACGTAGCGTTTAGTTTATATCAGGACAAATTCTTTTTTTTTTCTTATGCCGGAGCGGTTGGCCGTTTGGAAAAACGATATTTGACCGTTGGAAAACCGTTTTTTCAGTAGTACGTTAGACGTATAACTTAGTGGATTATACGGAATATAAGACAATTACTAATGTTTTTGATGATGAAGATACTTATTTGAGTTGTACACTAAGATAAAATTAATATTAGTGGTAAATGTTGTGTTAAAAAAAAAACCATGATACCATATGTAGATGTCCAAAACAACATATTTTAACAAGGGAATAGATTCTCAATTGTATTTGACTCCGAATCCCAGAGGCTATCATTGATAAAAATACATAATATATAAAACCCTGTTTCATGGATCTTTGTCATACTCATGTAAAAGTTGAATCATCAATGTATACTTGCAACAGTTCTAGAGAATTTTCACTTTGTTGCGGGTGGATAGAACCTCTATCTAAAATTCTGAGCTCCCTTATCACATATAAATAGTTGATGTTTAGTTATGACAAGATTTGGTCAAACTTTTAAATATTTCACAATCAATAGCCTTTCAAATGACTAGTTTTTTAAAAATGATATGCGCAATTTTTCCTTTAAAAGTACTACAATTATTGAAAAATTACTTTAGCATACGAAATTGACTGAAAATTCCCTTGGACCGAATCTTGTTAAAAGTGTCAAATATCTTTCGACTAGAGAGAGCAAACTTAGTTAAAAAAGTATACATCGGTAAATATACTGGCAGTTAAAAAACTTGCGAATGTAACTATAATGTAAATATAATATACTAAATAATAACTACAGTATAATTTAGTTTATAACTTTTAAATAGTTAACTTATGTACTCCCTCCATTTCAGATTATAAGACGTTTTGAATTTGGTCAAAGTCAAACTACTTTAAGTTTGATCAACTTCGTAGAAAAAAGTAGTAATATTTTCAACCCAAGACAAATTTATTATGAAAATATATTCAATTATTGATTTGATGAAACTAATTTAGTATTATAAATATTACTATATTTGTCTATAAACTTAGTCAAACTTAAAACAATTTGACTTTGACCAAAGTCAAAACGTCTTATAACCAACCTGAAACAGAGGAGCATGAAATTACATATTTCTTTATACAAATGCAGTTTTTAGAAATTCTTTTTTCATATCACTATCTTCCCGGAGAGGTAGCAGAAATGCGAGAAGAGCCCAGCCGCCGAGATGACGAGGGCCACCGCCGAGAAGCTGTGCGCCACCCAGAACCTCGCATTCTCGGCGGCGAGGGTGCTGCTGCTCCTTGCTGCCCGAGCATTCTGCCGCCAGCCGACGAACGAGCCGTCGCCGCCGATGCCGAGGCTTCTCTCCACTTTGTGCCTTTCACGCATCGCCTGATCATCGAAAGATCACATGAACAATTATTTAATTTCGCCATGCATTTTGATATATAAGTACAAGGGATTTCTGGTTGGTGATATATTGACGATACAGAAATCTTTATATTTGCAGAAGGAATTAATTGATACTGTATTTGTGGATGGAGGAATTAATAATTACTACATGGTAAATAAATCTCCCAAACAGTTTATTGACTAGCCATTAATTTGTACACCTCCATTGTTTGCTCGTTGGTTTATATATATCAACTGTAATCAAAATTTAAAATTTGAAATGTAAGAGTTGATTTTGAGGGGATTTTTTATCACTTATTTTTTTTCAGCTTTAGATTTTAAATTTTGTTATAAGAAAATAAATATAAAGTTTTTACTCATAGAATAGTTTTGGTTGCTATGTCAATTTTCTAACCGCTTATCGGTTGTAGAGCAGGGTGTGTTCGTTGGAGCTGGTTCCCAACCAGCACAGTACGCACGGAAAACGGAGCGATCTATTAGCGCGTGTATTAGCTAATTTTTTTTTAAAAATGGAATAATATGATTTTTTTAAACAACTTTCGTATAGATTTTTTTTTTAAAAAAAACGCATCGTTTAGCAGTTTGGGAAGCTTGCGTGCGGATAACGAGTCGGAGGGAGCTGGGAACCAGCCCTTTCAAATACACCTGTGTTCAGCAGGTGAGGTTGGGAACTCACCTCCCGCGCATGCAAAACAGAGTGACATATTTTCTTATGATTAATTAAGTATTTACTAATTTTTTTTGAAAAATAGATTAATATGATTTTTAAAGTAACTTTTGTATAGAATTTTTTTTTTTTGCAAAACATACACCGAATATGAATATGGAGGAAGTAATAAGTACTCCATCCGTCCCAAAATATAAGTATTTTAGCACAGTGACAAGTCAAATATTTTTAACTTTTACTATTAATAAAAAAAATAAAAAAGATCAATAATGTAAATTGATGTTACTAGATTTGTCATTAAACAAACTATTATAATATACAACTTTTTTTTATTCAAAACATTTTATTTTTATAGATATTGTTGATCAAAGTAGTATCTCGAAAACCGTGTCAGAGCTTAAAATTGTTATATTCTAGGAGGGAGTACTAATTAAAGACTGTATGTTAACCGTGGTGTTATTGTTTAAAACTGGCATGCTGCGTGCGCCCTTTTAGCTTTGCGAAAATGTTTCTAGAACCTACAGGTCTGTAATATTTAACGCGTGGTCAATGCTCACTGAGTCACTGTCGATTGATTATTATTTATAATTCAATTATAATATTTATGGCCCCGTTCGAAACCACATAGGATGTGATTAAGGTTAGACATGAAAAAAAATTAGTGCCTGATTAATTTAATTATTAAAACTTGAAAATAATTTTATTAAATTTTTTATTTTAAAAAATTTCTATATAGAAAGTTTTCGTACGAAACATGCTAATAAAAACTTTTGTAAAACTTAGAGTGAAGTGCATGAGCGGTCCTTAAACTTGTACGAGTGTGTCATCTAGATCCATAGACCCTAAAAATACATTTGCGTCTCCAAACTTTTGTTGGCTGTCATATCTAAATGGGTTCCAACCCGTTCCATGCGATGATGTGACATGCCATGGTGTCGCCTACGTGTTAGTCGGACCACATGTGAGTCACATAGAATAAAATAAAAACATATTTTCTCTTCTTTATCTTAGAATTATTTTTTAAAATTTTATTTTTTCCTCTCTTTATAAGAGGATAAAATATGGTTTTTAATTTTATTTATATATATGAGTAATATATGGGTTCAACTAACACTTATGCATCACCGTAGCTTTTCCACATTAGCGTATGGAGCGGGTTATTAGAAACCCAAAGACACTAAAGACAAGTACGAAAACCCAAAATATTTTATTATAGAAGTTTATAAACCTAGATTATATACCCATATAAATTTAAGTACCGCATATCGCATATGTACTTGGCTCCAAAATTTATGTCTTCGATCTGAAAAGAATGTACCTCGAGTGTCCTAGGGGTGAAGATAAGCAGGTTGGCGAGGTCGTACCCAGCGGCGACGAGGAGGACCGCGAGCTGCCGGCGCTCGGCCGGCGGCCACGGCGGGCGGTGGAGCCACGCGAACGCCGCCGCGGAGGCCGCCGTGCACGCCGCGTTGAGCGCGAAGCACGCCGGGAACACCTTCCCCCGCAGCCTGCCCATCGCGTGCCTCGGCAAGTTCCTTAATCAATCAATTAATTAATCCACGTGAGCACAATGATTAATTAAACTAATAAAGCAGGGTTAATCTCTCTTACTGATTAATTAATCAATCCACGTGAAAGACGACGATTAATTAAACTAATAAAGCAGCGTTAATCTCCCCCCTAATTAGTTATTCTCTCTGTCTCATCTCTATCTCTACTATTATAAAAATTAAAGATGTTTTTACTAGTATTTTGGTACGCCATCTGTGTATTAGTCGGTTTTAAGTTCGTTTGCTTTTGGAAATCCATATCCATATTGTGGTTTTTAAGATCGTTCACTTTTTTTAAGATCGTTCACTTTTGATAGTACAGAAGGAATCATATAAGAAATCTGTTTGATAAAACTCGCATGCTAACTTAAGACGATCGGATCCTATTTGCAGCTCATGACTTTCTAAAAATATATATATGTAAGCGAACTCACACAGTGAATTTTCATCTTAACTAAACCATATAACAATAATAAGATTAAATTAGGCTTCATCCGTTGCTACGCACGGGTATTTTTTATAGTAATATATAAAATTTTCGAAGGATATAATACATTTAATACTACGAATCTGGAAATTAAACAGAATATACAAATCTCTCCAAAATAAGAAACGCCCAGCGGTTTTCGCCAGTTCCACAAGATGGTTGACTAACCGGCTAGTCTGAGTTTGAGGTCTCAATCCTTTCTATTTGATATTAGTTCATTCTCTAGTATTCGTGGTTTCTATATATCTCTTTAAAAAAATTTAAATTATAAGACGGAGGAAATACATTGAAGCTGCAGGGAGAAAATGTGTAGTACAGGAACATGATGACGCCGCCGACGAGGATGGCCCAGACGGTGACGCCCCAGGAGGTGGCGAAGCAGAGGAGGTGCACCGCCTTCGCCGCCGCCGCCGCCGTCATGCCGAGACCAGCGCCGCCGGCGAGGAGGAAGAAGACGGCGAGCAGCAGCAGCAGCATTTCCGACCACCGTACTGAATGCACGTAAATAATAGGCACCGAGCTGGTTGATCGGCTTACAGATAGGAGAGGCAAACTCGGGAGGCTTACAGATATGTTTTTATAGGCCCCGTTCTTTGGTTGAATGAAGTAAAAATTAAAAGACCAATTTTTGCGACTATAGTGCAAATTAATGCCATTATTATAAACACAAGATTATGAGTTAGCACAAGATTATGAGTTTTTAGAAGATACTCCTTCCGTCCTATTTTTTAAGTACAGCCATAAGTTTTCGTGTACAATTTTAACAGTTCGTTTTATTTAAAAAAGTTGACAAAAATTAAAAACATAAGTCACACATAAAGTATTATTCATGTTTTATTATCTAATAACAATAAAAATACTAATCATAAAAACATTTCAAATAAGACGGACGATCAAAGTTGGATACGAAAAATCATGACTACGTTTAAAATGAGATGGAGGGAGAATATGTTTTTTTCTAGAAAATATGTTATACAAATAGCTACAGGCAATCAGCAATAATAGTTTTTAATTACACGCACGTCACGCACACACTACAGATAACTAACATCTTCAGTTGAGACAGCGATGATATGAATGTGACTAGTTGGTGGTCTATAACTAATAGGAATGGACGAATTAAACATACAGTAAATAGTTTTTAAAAATAAATTTAACTAGCTGATCATATATATTCCCCGAGGAAAAAAATTAAGTTCCAAAAAAAAGTGATGTCTATCGTTCCACAAAAATTAAGTTCCAAAAATTAAGTTTGGAGCTAAGATTCGTGGAGTTGTATAAATATGTTGTATAAGTGTTGTCAAATTTTTTCATAATCATTTTTAAGCAAACGAGGGAACATCTCCTCAAGATCAAAATAGTTTCCCAATTCCATATACTCTGTTTAACAGACCTTGAGCATAGTATGTCACCAACCTAATTGATCAAAAGTAAATATAAAATTACCTAGTCATAACTAACATAGTCATTTACTAGGAAAATTAGAGCCCCATCGTTTGGCCTAAACAGCCAAAGAATAAGCCAAAATTTGAATTTTTGAACTTGATTTTGAAGTTGATTTTGAGATGCTTTTAACATAATTTTTGTTAGTGTTGGCTTTTAAGTCGCTACGAACAAATCTATAAAAGTTTTACTTATAAATTAATTTTTATTTTCTAATAAGCCATTAGGCAAAATAGGCAACCGATGGGAGCCTTACTGATGTAATGGGGCTGCACCCATTGAATTGGGGATTTGGGTAGTAGCCGTCCCTGTTCTAGAATAAATAAAAATTCTAGTCCTCCTCCCCATCCCTAGGGTGCCATTTTTTTTCTTTGTTGTCGGCTCCATGCAGGTACAAGAGGCAAAAGAAAGTCTGGGAGGCACGCAACAAGCCAACAGTAGAGCTAATATGGGGCTAAAAACTTTTAAGTCTCTATCACATCAGATGTTTGGATACTAATTATAAATATTAAAAATAGACTATTAATAAAACCTATCCATAATCTTGGACTAATTCGCGAGACGAATCTATTGAGCCTAATTAATATATGATTAGCCTATGTGATGCTACAGTAAACATTCTCTAATTATGGATTAATTAGGCTTAAAAAATTTATGTCGCGAATTAGCTTTTATTTATATAATTAGTGTCTAAATATAGAGACTAAAGTTAAGTCCCTATATCCAAACACCACCTTAAGTTACGCTGTCACCCCAAGGGAGCGAGTAAGGAGCAATTTGTGATTATGCAATCGGAGGCTATAGCTAGTTTTCGGTGTATATATACATATATACAGTGCGCCTAGGAAGTAGGGTTTATCCGGTCCAAAACAGTTTGTCTGAATGAAAGGTCTTACGAGGGAACCAAGCCATGAGGGTCGCTATTTCCGGTTTTTTCCAGTATAGTTCCGAGTGTTCGTTGTATATAGGCAAAATTTGACTTCAGACACTGAAAAATTGTGTAATTAGCTGTGAGACACCCGAAAGACGTGAATTTACCCGAGGGCTCTAAAAGTGTGGTAATTTGCTGCAGAACACTGGACGCATTAAAATATAATATCCACTGAATTGATAAGAGATAAATCATATAAAATGACAGTTTTGCCCCTTCTCTTCTTCCCTCTCTATTTTCTTGTCCTTTTTCTCTCATTGACACACCCTCTCTCTACTTCTTTCTCGCACGAAGGCAGCACAGCAGGGCGCAGCAGCGCGTGAGATCGAATGCTGATTGGCGCTTGCGTGGGTTCAAGTGCTTGGCGTCCTTGTCATTATCGTCGCCCACGCCGCCGCCCATGTCGCCGCAAGAGATGACGTCGAGGTCGTCGCTCCTGGACCGACCCACCTTGTTCTCCACCTCCGACGCATCCCTCGCCTTCGTGCATCCTCCTCCACCGCCGCTATCCCGGGCTACTACCGCGTCCGCTTGCCTCCGAGCGAGGAGGACCCGCCACAGCCACGCCCTCCTCCCCACCGCTCCCGCACCGCGTGGCATACGGTTGATGAGCCCGGCGACAGCGGCTTCGATGGCGGCAATGGTGACGGAGGTGGCTGCGGCCAGGCAGTGGCGGCGTCGATGACAGTCGGCGAGCGCGGCGGCAGCGGCTTCGACGGTGGCAAATGGCGAGAGGCGCTGAGGGCAATTTTGTCTTTTTGAAATTTCTCTCTCATCTTTTTTATCAGAAATGATACAATATTATCTCAGGTGTCTTACAGCAAATTACATGAATTTTGTGGTGTCCATCAGCAATGACACGATTTTACGGTGTCTCACGGCCAACTACACAATTTTTTGGTGTCCCAGGGCAAATTTTGCATTGTATATATTATGCCAAACATGAATTTTCAGCACCTCTCAAATCTACAACGCTGTAGCCCCATCATCAATTATTAGAGGTCCAGAAAGTTGAGAACAACACAAACTTCTGTGTTTTAGTGTTTTCGTTTTCAATTTGTACAGTCATACTTCACAGCTAACACGCAAAACAAAAAATACACTCAACTTTTTCTTAGCTTATGGCTTGTCTTTGCCGGTATTCACAACATCAAAACAGTGACCTTTTTACTAAGTCTGTGATTCACGCAAAATTACCAGAACATGTGAAAGTGTTCAAAGGAATTTACCAATTGATTTGCAGAGGGGAAAGCTAATCCATATCATTTTGAAATTCAATCCATGATACTGAGTTTTAATATCTCGTAGGCGTCGGCAAGGTAAAAATACTTCATCTGGAAACAATATTCAACATAGAGAAACATAAGCTTTTGTTACCACGATTATATGCAACTGAAATAAGAAAAATAAATTGAGAAAGTATCACCAAAAGTCTAAAACGATTATGTGCAGATACTGTGTTGATCTAATGTACCTTAACAAAGACGAGATCTCACGTGACCTTCAATTGGTTTGGTACCCATACATGGACGGTGCATAACTAACAGGATATGGCAAATTAAACATACATTCAACAAGTTAAAAAAAAAACATTCAACAAGCTGACGATATGCAGCTCTAATTGTCACTGTTCTTTCAATCTCAATTCAAAAAATATATAGCTGGCAAATATTTCTCTCTCTCTCTCTCCAGATGTCACTTTGTTCTTGGCAGTTGGCACAAGTAACTTTTAGCATATCTCAAATCTACAACACTGTAGCCGGTTAGCCACATCACCATGATGCGAAATAATCACTCCACCGATAATGTTGCTAGATGTTTACATATAAACAGCAGCAACAAATGTACGCGCATGTGTGGATCAGTGTTCTTCACCTCCAGAACACAGAAATCTAAAATTTATAATAGAGAACTCAATATCAGGAGGAGGCAGCTCTTTACTTCATGTGATCATTAACATGAAAGGAAATTCCTTTAGGTTTGGACTTTGGAACTAGTGTGAAGGGATTAGAGCACTGATAATCTCTAACTTGACAGTGAGCTTTGAAACAGCCAAGAACCACTGGTCCTCAGCAAGGGAGGAACCACTCAGCTTTTTGTTTCTGTATGGTATTTGTTTCCCAAGAGAAAAGCATTGCACGTATACCGTTCATAAGCCAACTGCCCTGTAAAAACAATAAAAACCAATTAGTAAACCAAAACAAATGGTTCAGGAAGTTGAGAACAATACAGGACTAATGAATGCAACAACAAATCAGGACTGGAGGACCACTGTACCTATCGAACCTACAATGTCAGAATGTACAAAAGAGCAATATCAAGCTGAAATCCCTGCTGCTTTTCCAGTCCATGTGAGTATAAAAGCATCATTGTTTCCTTCCCAGCCAAATTCTGTGAGCAAGTTCTCAAAGTTCATTGGAATGCTTAGTTGGTGTTACATCTTTAGTGGGGGCATGTTGGTAGACTACTGATCGTGATACACTGATTTTTTCCAGTGACTATTTTCTGTTCACAATTATTTTAAACCAAAATCTTTTTGAATGTTTTCGCTTTCAATTTGTATGATGATGCTTCACAGCTAATCAAATACAAGGAAAATTACAAATGCAGTTAAGTTTTTCTTAGCTTATGTCTTGTCTTTAGCAGTATTCACAAGATCAAAAATAGTGAACTTTTTATGAAGCCTATGATGCACCAAAGTTACCAGAACATGTGAAAGTGTTAAAAGGAATGCACCGATTTGTTCTGCAATTGTTTCCTGAGTAGAAAGCTTAAATCCATATAATTTTTGAAATTCCATCGATGCCATAGAGCTTAATATCTCTATGGCGTTGGAAGGTACAAATCCTTCATCTGGAAACAATATTCAACATAGAGAAACATAAGCTTTTGTTACCACGATTAGGTGCGATTGAAATAAGAAACAGAGTGTTGAGAAAATATTGCGACAACAGATTATGTGAAGCAATTATTGAGGTGTTGATCTAATGTACCTTAAGCAAAGATGAGGCTGTTTTGCACCTTTCACTGAGGATAGGGCATCATTCATGTGTAAATTAGCATGCAGTCAATAGATCACACTTCACGCATTGACAACTTGAACAGCAACTTCAGACTCTATGCTCTGATTAGAGCCACAACTCGACTGAGCATTTCTACTGAGGTATTTATCCATTAACTCTCCTGCCTCACTGAATTGACCCATTTTTGCAAGTGCAGCAACAATTGGCCAATATGATTGATTATTGCTCGTGCTGCAGCCACTGCGCTCCCTTGCAAATAGAATTTCTTTGGCCTTATTGACTCTCCTTTCATCACATAGAGCTTTTATCAGGGAATTGTATGTGTAACTGTCTGGAACCACACCAAATCTCACCATGTCATTGAAAATATCTTCAGCTTTATCTACCTTCCTCATCCGGCAAAAACTCAAGATGAGGGCATTGAAGGAATATGCATCAGGAGTAACGCCATCTATTTTCATTTTATTAAGAAGATCAATAGCCTTGTTAACATGCCCTGCTGAACAAAGTGTGTGCATTAATACATTGTAAGTCTGAGCATTTGGTCTAACACCCCACTCTGCCATCTCTTCAAAGCAAACAAAAGCATCATCCAGTTGATGGGTATTGCACAGGCCATCAATAAGAGAGGTAAATGTAATGATATCTGGCATGAAACCATGTTCCATAAGCATCTTAAGAACAACCTTTGCATTATGTACATTCCCTAATTTTGAATATCCACTTATTAGTGTGTTAAAGGTGACAAGGTTAGGCAAGAAACCTTTGTCTTGCATCTCCTTGACAATCTCCTCTGCTTTATCAACTGCCCCGGCCTTCACGAAGCAATCTATCACCATGTTGTAAGACATCACACTAGACAAGAGTCCCTTTAAAACCATGTGCCCCAAATAGTGGTTTGCCTTCGAAAAATTCTTGCAGTTCAGCAAGGATTTGATTACCATAATATATACATCAAATCCTGGATTCCCGCCATTCTTAATGAAAGAATCTAGTAACTCACATAGATCACTCACCTCCAGGCATTTCAGAGCACAAGACATGACAATGCCAAATGCTGTGCTGTCAAGGAGATAACCCCTAGCACTCATCCTCTTCTCAAACTCAACTGCCTCTTTGGCCATGTCCTTCTTCGACAGGCAATACAGCATCGTGTGGCATGCGCTCGGGTGAAGGGACGTCTCATGGCCTAGCCAATCACTCAACATCCTGTATGCCTTGTCTCTCTCCAAGCAGCGAAACACGCCATGAACCAGTGTCCTGTAAGTGGCCTCGCTCGGCGCCACGCCCTTCTCCTTCATCTTGTCCAGCATACGGAACGCCTCCTCCACCCTGCCGGCATTGCAGAACCCGTCCACCAGCATGGTGTACGTGAACACGTTCGGCCTGATCCCCTCCCCCTCCATCTGCCTCACCAGCCGGACCGCCTCATCGACGATCCCGCGCCGGCACACGCCGTGGACGAGCGAGTTGTACGTGAAGTGGTCGGGCCGGCACCCGTCGGCGGGCATCTGCTGGAACCTGAGGTACGCGGTGTCGACGGCCCCCGCCCTCACCGACGCCGCGATCAGCGCGTTGTACACCGCCGTGCTGGGCCTCAGACCCAGCCGCGGCATTTGCACGAACACCTCGTGCGCGTAGCGTGCGAGCCCCAGCCTGCCCCAGCTCTCCACCAGCGCGCACACCAGCTCCTCCGACACCTCGCACCCGCAACCCCTCACCTCCGCCACCAGCCTCCCCGACAGCACCACCGGCCCGCGCCGCCACAGCGCGCCCACGAGCGCCCGCCGCACGCCGCCGTCGCGCGCGAAGTGGGCGCCGAACCGCGACGCCCACACGTAGAGCCGCACGCAGAGCAGCGGCTCCCCCAACCCCTCCCTCTCCGCCGCCGCACGAAGCGCGCGGACGACGAAGCGGGGGCCGAGGCGGGGGAGCGCGGCGGCGAACTCGGCGTTGAGACGGGGGAACCAGTCATCCTCGGCCAAGATCGAGGCGGCGCGGGCAGGGTCGGCGGGGTCCGGTGGGTTCGCGGCGGATTTGGTGGAGAGGCTGGATCTCGGTGGGGTTTCGGGGCGGCGATTTGCGCCGGAGAGGCGGCGGCAGCGGCGGCGGCGGAGGAGGAGGAGATTGGGGTGATGGATGCTCCTCATTTGCGGTTTGCATCCAACAAAAATCGCCGCCTTTCTGGTCTGGGTGTTCACTAATCACTACTGCCTCTCTGGCTCTCTGAAGCAAGGAGAAGCAAGGAGGTAGACCTGGCCAAATGGGCCGTGCCAAGACGGGCCGGCCCGAGCACGGCAGTACTGTAGCCGGCCCAGGCCCGGCACGGCACGCCAGCCTGTGGGCCGTGCCGGCACGGCCCGTTATCCTGTGCCGTGTTTGGGCCGATGCCTCAGCCCGTGGGCTGGCACGGCACGGCACGTTTACTGTAGCGTGCCGGCACGGCACGGCCCAGGCATGGCACGGCCCACCGGCCCATTTATTTTTCCTACGATTTTCTAATTTTTCCCATATATTTCTCATATTTTTTATTTTTTTCCACATTTTATCCTATTTGTACCATATATTTTATGATATATTTCCTAAATTTTCCTCACATTTATCCTATATTTATCATTTTTTTCCTTTATATTATGTTTTTTCTGCCTTTTTTCTTTTTTTCCCTTCAAATTTCAATTTTTATGGGCCACATGTACTAGTGGGCCGGCTACCAGCCCACGTGCCACTACAGTAGCCGTGCCGGCCCGGCACGGCCCAGCACCTTCTTGGGCCGTGCTTGGGCCGTGGCCTTGGCACGTGGGCCGGCACGGCACGGCCCGCTACAGGAGCCGTGCCTAACGGGCCGTGCCCTAGTGGGCCGTGCCGTCGGCGTGCCGTGCCGTGCTGGGCCGGGCCGCCCGTTTGGCCTGCTATACAAGGAGGAGCAAGTAAGTTTTTTTTTTTTTACATTAAAATATATGACGCCGTTGACTTTTTTCCAACGTTTGACTATCCGTCTTATTTAAAAAATTTATATAATTATAATATATTTTATTATGACTTGATTGATATGAAATGTTTTTTAAGTATGACATAAATATTTTCATATTTGCATAAAAATTTTGAATAAAACGAATGGTCAAATGTTGCTTAAAAAGTCAACGGCGTCATACATTAAAATATGGATGAAGTATTTTCTCCATTTCACAATGTAAGTCATTCTACCATTTCCCATATTTATATTGATGTTAATGAATCTAGATTGATATATATATATCTAGATTCATTAACATTAATATGAATGTGGGAAATGCTAGAATGATTTATATTGTGAAATAGAGGGAGTACATAATAAAAAAATCTAACTTAAAAAGAGAAAGAATGCCACCCTCCTATCCTAGTACAACGAATTTGAATAAAATATTCTTTAGATTCGTTGTATTGAGTTTTTTTTTACAAAGGAAGTACTGTTTTAGGCAAAGAGTATACTGTCCATGAAAAACTTAGCTGAGTACACACTTCATCCCATAATAAATCAACTTCTAGAAACGTATTTTTAGGAAGTATTGATTATAAGAAATACTTTAGAGAACGATATACTCCATTCCAACTATATAGGATAATCCCAAAACGTCTTATTATATAAAACTATCATAAGAATATAAAGTGTTTATCTATATTCATAACTAAGAGCTTAGTCGGTTTGAATGAAAAACCGATGATTTTGGATTCTTAAGAATTAATTTCTAGAAGTGACATTTAATTTGTAGGAATGATGTATAGGAAAACCAAAAAAAATCCTCTTGGAGAGAAAACATATGAAATTTTTTATCCACTCATGCGTGCATGTATTCCTATTCTTCCATTTTTTTTCTTATTGTTGTGGGTCAAAAATCCTCCCAATTAACAAGCATATAAGGGAGTAATATGGAATGGATGATTCGGTCTTTTATGTATGCCTTAGTGACAAATACAGTTATACTCATCAGTCATCACACGATTTTACTTCTATTGAATGGCCTTAGCGTGATATCAGTATATCACACGCCATATAGGATCAATTCATCTATACATTCATAAGGCATGACAATTAGATATTTAGATAGCCTATTTAGTTTACATGCAGTGTATAGTGTGGCTTTGCACTCCTCTCTCCTCTTATATATACACACATTTTTTTTTGTTAAAAATGATATAAATAATGTTTCTCTGTGCCATCTTTTCTTCCAACTATGAAAAGGGTGAGATATTGAAGTGAACCAATGTTATAAAAATGTTTATTCCAACAAACGGACTATATATGATTTAAGGTTTAGGAGATATGGAGCAGATAGATATTCATACAGCGAGATAGAATGACTTCATTCAGTGTCATTTAGTGTCGTTCAGTGTGATTAGTTATTTTACTATGTATTCGATCCAATAACTCATCGGGCACTACAAGAAGCAGGTCATGAAGAAAAGGTTCATTTCATACATCGTAACCAAGTTAGCTTCACAGCATCAAACCTAAGTAGAGGAATATCACAACTCTAGTATATGATTGATGTGAGATGATGGGTATGAAGTATTATATTGTTTTTCGTTATCACTACGAGAATGATGCTATAAGTTATAAGTGCTATGAAACAAAACACTATAAGGCTTAATATAATTGTGATGTCCATTTTCAGTGACAATACATGTCAAATTTTATAAACAAGAGTAAATTTGACAAAACTATATGAATGTTGATCAAACTATCACAAAACTATATATGTAAAATGATGTATCACAAAACTACATACTTAACATCAAATTTATCATAAAAGTACAGATTTAAGGCCAAATTAAAGCATCACAAAAGTACAGATGTGATAATATTAAATTTGTCGCAAAACTACAGATTTTAGAATTCAAATCCCTAGCACCATTGTTATGTTGGAGCTATAAGTGTTGTAATTTTGTGACTAAATTGTTTCTAAATATACAGTTTTGTGATAATTTTGGTACTAAAATATAATTTTGTGACACTCCGTCTTGAATGTGTAGTTTTGTGGTAAATTTGATTTTAAATTTATAGTTTTGTGATAGTTTTATTATTAAATATTCCCTCCGTTTCAAAATGTTTGACACCGTTGACTTTTTAGCATATGTTTGACCGTTCGTCTTATTCAAAAAATTTTGTGAAATATGTAAAACTATATGTGTACATGAAAGTATATTTAACAATAAATCAAATGATATGAAAATAATAAATAATTACTTAAATTTTTTGAATAAGACGAATGGTCAAACACATACTAAAAAGTTAACGGTGTCAAACATTTTGAAACGGAGGGAGTATGTAGTTTTGTGACACTTCATTTTAAACGTGTAGTTTTGTGGTAAATTTAATGTTATATCTGTAATTTTGTGACACACCGAATTAAATGGACAGTTTTGTGATGGTTTAGTCACGGTATATATAATTGTGTGAAATTTACTCACAAAAATATTTTATTTTTAGTTAATTATTATTTTTCCATATCTATATGCACGTGTCTGGTCATAAAACCAAAAATATTTGTGAATCCTCTTTAGAGAAGGATAACATTTCTTACTATTAGCTTATTTTAAAACCAATATATATAATAGATTAACTATAAAGTTGGCTATAATATATTTCTTCTCTCTCTATCTCTCATTTATATATTTAATATATTTGTCTTGTAGCTTGTGATAAGCTAACTCTTGAATGAGAGTCAATACCCTTAAATTTTTTGGGTTCATCTCAGCATGGAAATTGTTTTGCATCCCTTGGTAACAAATGAATGGTATATACAGTATGTGCAGTAGTACTTTTTTATTATTTTTATTTTTTTTAACGTTTTCCCGTCTCTTGGGCTAGTGGCCCGACTCTCTCATCCCTCCGGCTTCCGGAATCCCCACCGCCGAACGCACGATTTCTTCCCGACGCTGTCACTTGCTCTCCCCCCACATCGGCGGCGGCGGAGGCGCGGCGGTTGGCGTCCTGCGGCTGCGGAGCGAGCGGAGAAGCCAAGGTCGTGTGTTGGGTGAACTCCCAGCCTCGGCCGCTCATCGGGGAGGGCACTGCTGCACAAGGGAAGCGGTTTCTTGGTTGGGGTTTAGTGTCTGCATTGGATATGAGTCACGGGTTCTTGGTTAGATTCTGAAGAGGTTCTTGGTTAGATTCTGCGCATGATCCAAATTCCGTAGAAGGATAAACAGATTCGTTGAGTGGCAAAGAAGAGGTGGTAAGCAGATGGGTGTGGTGACAAGGGGCAAGAAGAGGAGGCTGGATGATGAATCCAGCAACCCACAACTGGCGCCTCGAGGAGGAGAAGACCTGATAAGCCGCCTCCCGGACGATATCCTCACCGGCATCATCACCCTCCTCCCTACCAAGGACGGCGCCTGCACACAGATGCTCTCGCGGCAGTGGCGCCCTCTCTGGCAATCTGCGCCTCTCAATCTTGAGGCCAGGGTCAATGGCTGCACGTTGGGAAAGGATGTGGCCACCATCTACAGCACGCTGCTAACCCACAGTGGTCCGGTCCGTCGATTCTCCCTCAGCTAGGGATGTGACGACTGTAATGGTCACTTTCCCGTCGCCGATTCCATTGTTGGATCCCCCAGGCTCGACCACCTCCAGGAGTTTGAACTGTTCTATGATAGCGTTGGCGTTCAAAATCCTCCGGTTCCACCGTCGGTACTCCGTCTATCTTCTACTCTCCGTGTTCTCAGGATTCTTTCAACGTGTGACACACTTCAGTTTCCCATGGAGACTGCTTGCACGCTCGATTTCCCACACCTCAAGGAGCTCACCTTATCCCAAGTCAACATTGCAGATAGCATTCTCCATGGTATTCTTTCACGATGCATTGTCTTGGAGAGCTTGGTGCTGGATGCGAACAGGGGTTGTAGTCGTCTCCGTATCAGCTCCTTGACCCTTCAAAGCCTTGGTGTGTCAGATACTTATTTCTCTGTAGAGGGAATGCTGGAGGAAGTCATTATCGAGGATGCCCCGCTCCTGGAAAGGCTTACACCACCAGTTATATGGCATGAAGGCTTTGTTATTCGGGTTATTCAGGCACCAAAACTGAAGACATTGGGTTATCTAAGCCAGAAAATTTCCACACTTCAGCTTGGAAACATGGTTTTCCAGGTAGCTTCATACACATATACTGCAGGCATTTCTTTCTCTTGATATGTTATTTCTTCACAACATTTCATTCACCATATCTATTTCAGAAACTGGTGCC